CGGAAGGAAGATGGGGCAATCTACTTCCGGACTGATACCACTTTAGAAACTCAAGGAGGGGTCGCCATGAGTTGGGTCCAACTCCACAGCAGTGAGGTTTTTTTTTTTTTCTTTTTTTAATGTCCTTAGTAAGTTCTCAGTTCTCCCATTCTTGGAGTTTGTGTTCTATTCCTTGACCTTTTTTCTTCTAAGGGCCATGTAGACTATTAGTAATTGCTTAATCAACATTTTATAGTACTTTTGATATTGTTCTCTAAGCCTTCATAAGATTCTGCTCATTCTTATTAACTTTTACTTTATGCAAGATCCTCACTGTCTGAAGTGATTTCATTATCTAGACCCTTGAACTGGCTCATGTACATTAAATCATTAAATTTAGATCTGGTAGGTGTAGCAATGTTTAGAAGCTCTAGTGGCAAAATGGTTAAAGTGCTTGACCACTAACCAAAAGGTCAGTGGTTCAAAATAATCAGTGGCTCTGTGGGAGAAAGATATGGCAGTCTGCTTCCATAAAGATTTACAGTCTTAGAAACCCTGTAAGACAGTTCTACTCTGTCCTTTAGGGCCACTATGAATCAGAACTGACTAGATGGCAGTGGGTCTGGTTTTTGGTTGGGTGTTTCATGGTCTATATTCCCTCAATCTCATCTTTCTTTTACTTATCTATACTTTTAGATAGAATCCTTTACTAAAAGAAGCCTTGCTTGCTTTTGCATTTCCCTCATGTAATGGGTACTTATTTCATTTCTAACCATATCTTTTTCTTTGAAAGGAAAAAAAAAAAAAAAAACCTGAAAACAATCTCCTCTAATACATAAGGATTTTCTGGGTATACGTTTGCAGTTTTAAAATGATATATACTGGCATTTCAAGCAACTATAATTGCCTTCCAAGGGATAAGATGAACACATATGAATGCTGAGTGAGGTCGTTCTCAAAAAGTACTTCCTTCAGGTATGACTTAAAATATAGAATATTGGTAATTCGACGGTCCGTGATAACTGCCCTTGAGGTACTACAATCCCACTGACTGAATTACAGTCAAAGAATCTTCAAGCTGGAAGAACTTCTATTCAGCCTTTACCATCTGTCCTTATTCACTATCTTCAGAGCAGTGTTTCCCCAAATGTAGCCTGAAGACCACCTGCATCTGATTTACCTGGGGTATGTGATAAAAATGAAGCAGTGAACTCAAAGTGTTTTTGCTAGAGTTAGTTTGTTTTCACTTCATAATGATAGAAGGGAATCTGACTAAAAATATAGGAGACACATTCTTTGCCATGCAGAGCTGTTTAAAATCGGTACTGAGTGGCAAAATGTTTTTGTTTAAAAAAAAAAAAAATGAGGTGGTCTTCAAACTACAAGTTCAAGAAAACTGGTAGTGCTTAAGTTTAAATCTTAAAATATAGGTATACCACACTGGGGATGATGCATTATACCAAAATTAATTCCTAACTTCAGTCATTTAAGGGCATTTAAGTATTATAATTCTAAACATTTTCTGCCTTTTAATGAGGTACCCCCCAAAAAAACAAAACCCAACTTTCTGCCGCTGAATCAGATCTGACTCATAACGACCCTTCCCCTTGGGGTTTCAAGGTGGTATCACTACAGAAGTAGATTCCCCAATCTTCCTTTCATGGAGGGCTGGTGGGTTTGAACTGCCAGCCTTCTGGTTAGCAGTCAAATGCCTTAGGCACTATGCCACCAGAGCTCCCAAAGCAAACACCCATATTTTTCTCCTGCAGAGCAACTGGTGGTTTTGAACTGCCCACCTTTTGGTTAGCAGTCCAGAGCTTAACACTGTGCCACCAGGGCTCCTTTAATGAGATACTAACAATAATTTCTAGGATTTCCTTTTAGTATAACAAAAACATGCATACTTGTACTGAGACTATTTTCAAACCTTTTTTTAATGGGGTTGAGATATGAAGCCTTTATTAATTCTATTAAAGATTTCTGACATATAAATGATTAATGTTCATAGCAATATCCACTTAAAAATATAGTCCTTGCCTTTTTTTAACCTATGCTTTTTTAGCCACTGTGCCACCAGGGCTCCTTTTACTATATATGGGAAAAATATACTTTAAGTAAAAAAATTAGTTGTGTTTGCAATTTTACCTGAGAAAACATGGCTTTATCAAAACTTTAGCAGCTGAGTCAGATTTTCATGAGTTGTGCCCCATCACTGTAAGACCTACTGTCCCTTCTTTTTCTACTATATACAAAAAACTTTATTACCACAAAGGCAAATCATATTATATAGGTACATTCTAGCTTTCAATTAAAGCTATGTTTAAATTCAGTGTCTAAATAAATCTCATTTCAATGGATTAAGCATAAAGATCAAGTCTATAAGGTCAAAGGTGCTACGCACCTTACAAATTACGCTAAAAGCAGAACTATCTCACAAACTCTTAAACTTGGAAGTTTTTTTTCACTTTTAATTTGGATATGAAGATAAAAAGGGATTTTAAAAAAGATCTCAAAATTGTTTAGTTTTTTTAATATCTATGAATCTCTAGTGGAAGAATCTTCCTAAAACTGTCACAGTACCCACAAAGACGTAATACTACGAAAAACATAGATGAATCCCCTTTTCAGTAACTATCCTTAAGAGTGAAATGCAAATCAAAACTTCTGTTTCAGAATTTAATAGCGATAAGCAGAATAACAAAACTCTGCATGGAAATTCTTCACGCTGCAGAAGCAAAAACTTTTTAAAGGAAATTCTTATTTTGAAAATTAAGTCTCAATCTGATAAATACAGTTTAGATGCAGAGAACAGATAATTCATCGTCTGGATGACTTTTTTAGATCGCTTTAACAACTTTTACACTACTCTGACTTCAAAATACTCTGCCTTCAAAGATCAAGATGTTCTTGAAAATACAGTTTTAAATGAAAAAGTTATTTAATTTCTCAAAGAAATCCAAGAGTTTGTCGGATCACTTTTATTCTGGAAAGCAGTGGTACTCATATTAATTTCTGAATAGGTCAAATATATCTCCATGGGGAAAGAACTAACATTAAGTTTGCTTCATTGAACAAAATAATGTGCCTCACATGTATAAATGTGGTGCTCTGTAGTAATCAGGAATGCATTTGGAATACTCTTGCCGTATGTTTAAAAATGAAAAACTTCTCTTCCAAACAAGCTTTAAAAAAAAATCACAAGCACTGAAATCCACATATTTTAGTGTGTACCAACTTCACATCTTACAAAACCACCTCTTTCTGACCACTCCAATTGGCTTGTTATTTGCGTGGTGTATTATGAAATCTCCAATTTAACAAACCATCTAATTATCTTGAATAATGTAATATTTATATTCCATAATGACCAAACCTTGTATTACTAAGATCATTTAAAATCCTCATGAATGTCAAAATATATTTTGCTACTGTATGTTATTACTGTTGATAGTTGACTTCAAGTTGATTCTGACTCATGGCGACCCCATGTGTGGAGACTACCATTCGGGCTAGTCTTCCAATTCAATTTCTCTCAATACTAAAACAACGTTTTGGGGATGAGAACATTATCTCAGCAAACAAGGAAACAAATCAGACAAGATGCCTTAGTGTTCTTTCATGAAAAACTGAGTTCAAATCCATTTTCATTCACAAAACATAATTTCCATCTTCACTATAGTAATATTAAAAAGCATCACAGCTGATTTACACAATTTAGTACAACTAGCTGTTTAACGTAGTGTAGTACCTAAGGTACTTGACTGATAACCAGAAGGCTGGCGGTTCAAACCCACCAGCCACTCCTCGGAAGGAAGGTTGGGCAACCTACTTTTGTAGAGATATGGCCTCGGAAACCCAAGGAGGGGTCCCTATGAGTTGGGTCTGACTCGACAGCACACAAAAACAATAGCTATTTACCTATCAGCAACTAAGAGTACCTAGAGTTCCATTCGATAGAGCAGCAGACTTGCAAGTTGGTTCTCTGTAGTTTGGGCTCAACACATCTGCTTTAAAAAGCTCTAAAAACCCTCAGTTTTCATGGAGACAGTTACGTCTCAAAAACAAACTTTTCAAACACTTGTTGTCCCCCACAAATTTCACTGATTTTTCTACTTGGGAGGCCTTTATCTGAAAAGGGCACTTAAGAGCAAATATTAAAGTTGCAGGTTCATGTATATTCAGACTATTAAAATGTTCTAAATTTCCCCAGATATAAAATTTTGAAGAAAATGATGATCAATTTGGAAGAGGTATTTGTCTTTTGACTCATGCTACCTAATCTACCTTTCCTTACCCCAAAAGTAACTCGCAAACAACACAGGTGACCCAACAAGGAAAACCTGGGAAAGAGTAATCAAATTATAGTCACTGTAATTAGAGGTCTTCTGCACCATTCTTCTTTGAGTTTTTAATAATTTGCTCCATTCATATGCTGCAATGTTTCTATCAGGGCTTCAAACTGGTTCAATCCCCGATGAAGCCCTGATAGAAACAATGCATTTCCATCCTACGTATACAGTGATTTGCAATCTACAGTTTAACAAGATCCCCAGGTTATTCTTATGTATAAGAATTCTATAAGAATCACCTAAGAATCTTGTTAAATTATGGATTCTGATTCAGTATATCTGAGGCAGAAATGCAAATTCTCAGCAGGGGTAACCTGGAATGAACTAGTTGGTAAGTCCTCATTTATACAGTATTATCTAGCATTACATTTCCTAGGCCTTCAAATCTGCAAAATTTCATTCTTAATTAAAATCTCTATTTAATATTAAGTTTTCAAGTAAAGATAAACATGGAATAAACATTTAAACTTCTTATCTTCAATAATTGTAACCCACAGCTGAATTCTAAACAGAATTATAAATTGACTTCTATTGTGCAAAATTCAGTGAGACAAGCTTTGTGGGGTGTTGCAACCCCTTAAATAAAGCACCTTCCCGTGTGAACAATAAGGACCCTTAATCTCATTACTACTAGCTATCCAGCTTCCCTGTATGAAGAGTTTGCATACTTACTGGGGAAGGCAAATGGAAAGTACACAGGGAAGAAGATGAACTGCGGCAAAGCCTTTGTCATATGATAGTGACCTATAAAGTATCAAATAAAGGTACATCGTCAGTATGGTAAGTCTTTACAATAGAGTTTCCCGTCTTGTAACATCTATGAAGGTAAAACCCGAAATCCAAGAGTTCGACTTCCCATCGCCCTCCGCTCCCCATCCCCACCTCCAAGCACCAGGGGGCAAGAAAGGCAAAGACTCTCCCTGTTATTCAAAGGGCAGAGGCTGGTGGGCCGCCCACCCGGCATTCCAGGGTGTCTCCAGCACCCTCACTCCCTACTCACTGTATGTACAAATCAGAAAGTTGATCCATTCTGCAAATGCAAAATCCACACAGCGATCATTCATCAACTTGCCCAAGCCATCGCCGCCCCCAGGACAAATGTACCAGTAACCCAATCAAAGCGATAGATAGTTAGCCCGAGCCTCTACCGAACCCAGGAGCCGGCGAGAAGTGGCACGGCAGTAGCAGCGGGTCCAGGTAATGCAGCCCTCAGCCCTGCAGACCTGGGCGGCTACAACCGTCGCCCAAACGCCTGGCCCGGATCACAATCCCGAGACTGGAGCTAGAAACACACTGGGGAAAACACATTCGCCAGAGTCCCCCGCGGCAAGTGCAGGGTCACCAGGTCTGCGAGGTCGGGGTAGGGGAGCTAGGATCCCACCCTGGCTTTGTTGCTGGTCACCATCAAGTTTACATCTTAGTACAAAATGTCGATCTTAAAGGCTGACAAGACAGAGGCTGAGGCAGAGAGAGAAAGAGAAAGGGAATAAGAGTCCATCTTGCTTTGGGGGAGAGAGAGGAGAAAAAAAAGGAAGTGCAAATCCCACACTCCGGGAGTAAAAGTCTAAACACCTTTCCATAGCGGAGGAGCAACGAGTGGGGTGTCTCCGTGCCCGCTCGAACTGGCGGCGCTCTGGGCAGAAAACGCCTCCCTCTCCTCCTCTTCCTCCTCCTTCCCCTCCTCCTCCTCCTCCCGCGGGCCCAGGCGAAGATCCCGCCGCCACCGCCGCTGCCTCCGCTACCCCCCGGGGAGGCACCGCCGCCACCGGGCCCAGCTCTGCCATTCGGGCTTGGACCAAGCGGCATGCGTGGGGCCAGGCGCTGGGTGACTGCGCGGGGACGTCTGCGCTAGGGACCCCCACGTCCCTTCGCCGCGGGCTGGCCACGAAAGTCGCGCGAGCAGAGGTGGCGGCGGCGCGCAAAGGAGGAGACGCGCGTGGGGGCACCACGCCGCGAGTGGGCAACCCCAGGGGATGGCGAAGAACGCCCCTCCCTGCGTGAGGAAAGTACCCCAGTCTCCGCCAGCCAGCCCCAGGAAAGGCAGCCCAGCCCAGCGTTCGCGACCGGGAGAGGAGAACTGGACGTGTCATTAGCAGGACAGGCAATGGTTTCAAAGCCCCAGGCCAATGACCATTAGCAGAGGCAGGGCTCGCTCCGTCCCCATCCCCCACAACCTCCACCCACCTTCCCCTCAGTCCCCCCCTCCACCTCCACCCCACCTCGCGAAACTTTTCACCAAGATCCACCTGGACTAATTTGTCCTCGACAGTTAAAATACTGACTAGACTCTACTACACTGGAAGGGAAGGGGAATGTACGCTTTATTTTTCTTTCTACAGAAAAGAAAGCAAAAAATAGCTTCTCTGTCTCTCCCTCTCCCCCCTCCCTGTCGTACATGTTGTGTCTTAGCTTTTTGCATCGTTTCGTTTTACCTTCCTCATTTAGCAGAAATGATCGCAGACATTTCACACGTAAACGTGTTCCAGATTCTTGGATTCAGGATCCTTGTAAATTACAGGACTCTGGTTTGGTCTCAGTTACGTTAAGTTTCATACAATACCAAAAAATAAAAAATAATAAATTTCTGAGGGCGAGCGAGGAAGACGAGGTGGAGGAGGAAAAGAAACCTCGAGTCTGATTTCTGTAATTTACTAGCGACCCGGATCACACAGCAAATAACAGCATAACACGAGTATGGCTTAAGAGAGCTGGGGAGCTCTTTCTAGAGGCATCGACCCCATCCCTGAATAAAGGATCTGCAAGTTTTCTGTCATCGCGACCATGCAATACGATAACTTACCTTCAGAAATAAGACTTTAAACAGCCAAGGCCTTCCTCCTCCTCCACCACCACCCCCAGCCTCGCTCTCTCCACCTTAAACTTATTGACACAACATAATCCCACATTCAAGCAAAATCCTGACACAGCCTCCCTCCTCCTCTTCCCCCTCCTCTCTTCCCTCCCGTCCCCCCCCCCGTTCCCTCTCCCCCCTCCCTATTTCCCTCCCTCTTCCCTCTCTCTACTCTTCTCCCTCGCCCTCTTCCCCCTCTTCCCCCATTCTTTCTACTGGCTACTCTGGCACTAAAACAGCACTTTCTCTACTCGCCGCGCAATTGCTGAGGGGTGGGGGGTGAGAGGGCACCGATCTGTGGGGCCGAAACACCCAAATCCCAACTCTACAGATGAAAGAGCAACTGGGCTGCTGTTCCCGGTCACCAACGCAAACGAAACGTTCAATAAATCCACTGAAGACTGGATCCTAGTACCTTCCTCCCCAGTCCCTGCTCCCCAGGCCCCACCTCCCAGGCAGCCGAGCCCGAGCTGGGATCCACGTACTTTAGCCGAGATGAAGTTTGGGGTTCCCCGGGCGGCCACGAGCCGCCCGCCGGCGTGAGGGCTCTGTTGTTGTTTTCCTCCGACTGCTCCTGCCCGCTTCCCGGCGCCCGTGCCCCCTCTCGGGCGGCGCAGCCAGTGTGCCGAGAGGTGCTGGTTGCAAACGCAGCCTGGCACTGGCTGGCCTACTACTCCCCAGCCCGGCCCCCAGCCTCCCGCTCGCAGGGCACTGCCTCCTCGCCCCCCGCCCCCCGCCGGCGCGGGCGCCGCGACCCTCGCCCCCGACCTCTCGCGATCCAAAGTTTTGGCGGAGGGGGAAAGTGCCTGGGGATCGGGCCGGCTGGCGGCTGCTCCGGACGCGCGGGGTTCCCTCCGTCTTCCTCAAGTCCACCCTGCCGGCTGCCGCCACCGCCGCCGCTGCTCCTGCCGCGGAGTCCTTGGGGCTGCAACCCGGAGGCTAGCAAGTGAGTATGAAAACAGAAAGTGCGGGGAGAGTGCCCAGGAACGGCTAAGGATGGGGGCACTTACCTCGCGGGCTGACCGAGTGTGAGGGCGTGTGTGTGGTTCGCCCTCAGCGGCCAGTCAGGGTTTCTCTATGGGAAAGTGGAGAGGAGCTCGCGGAGCCGCTCTGCCTCCGCTTCACTGTACACTGCTCCACATACAGTACATGCAACCCGGAGAGACTGAAAACACTCATTTTATATAAGGCAGCCTGCCATTGGACCGCGTCTTGACAGACAGGCCCCCCAGCCAAACAGAAGGCCTGTTACACCCAAACACACGCACACATACACACATTTTACAGAGACACACAAAGATCATCACATTTTCTATTTTCTAATGTTCGGGACCTGTAGACAGTAAGAGAGGACAGGTACAGAGGCCCAGCAGAGTGAAGTAAAGGGGAGAAACGCCGTCTGCACCAAGTTGCAAGGCTTGAAACTGGTGTCCTTTTGACTTGGGAGGGTTATGGTAATAAACTACAACTCCACTGGATATGGAAGTGAAGGTTTTTTTTTTTTTTTTTTTTTTTTTTTGAGATTACTCTGTGATTTATAATTTGCTTCCCAAGTTTAGAACAGTCTATTCTATCTTGTATTTTTTTATCGCTGCCTGTGGTGCCCCATGAAAAAGGCATGTATTGTGTTATGATTTTACAGCCTGACCTGGCTAACAAGTGGCTAAGAAAGGCTGTTATCATCTTGGATTGTCTTTTCTTCCTTTCTTTGCTTTTTTTTTTTTGGTCAATGGGTTAGCTATCACATAGGCCAAAGTAGAGCAAGATAAGTTTATTAAGACTATAATACACTAAGGTTGTTAATGCCACATTCGTTGGTAAATTCAGAAAAATCAATACAACAATACACAGCATTTTGCTGAAAAAGCCATTCTACTTTTAGCTGGTCAGAAGACTGCAGTTACCTGTGTGGGCATGAAAACAGTGTTGTAAGATAGAATAAGTCATGTAAGATTGGCTATTGAACATTTTAGCTTGAAAATAGACATTTTGATTAAATGTATGAAAAATTTATATTTTTCATATTATATATTTAAATATATATGATTTTTGCTTTATATGTTTTACTTTGTACCTCAATATCATATATTGATTGACTTTTGAAGATGGTGAACCCAAGGGCTATTTTTTCTGATTTTCTTTTTTAATGCATCTTCGGCAGATTATGTTTTACATTGTGATATAAACAAGTCAACAGGTTGCTGAGCACATAACTCAAAACTGAAAATTGTTGATATTATTTTGAGCTCCAACTCATGACAACACCCCGTACAACAGGAGGAAACATTCTTGGATCCTGCACCATCCTCAAGATTGTTGGCTTTCTCAAATCCGTTGTTGTGGCCACTGTGTATTTGCAGTGCCTTCCAGCCTAGCGGCTCATCTTCCAGTAGAATATTGGACAGTAGTCTGTTGTAATCCATAGGGCTCTCATTAGCTGCTTTTCAGAAGTAGATCACCAACTCTTTCTTCCTGGCCTGATTTAGAATGGAAGTCCACCAAAACCTGTCCATGATGCTGGTATTTGAAATATCAGTGACATAGCTTCCAGCATCACAGCAACACGCAAGCCACCACAATACAGCAGACCGACAGGTAGTAGAAAACTAAAAATTAAAACAAACCCGTTGCCTTTGAGTCACTTCTGATTCAGAGCTGTTTCTTATGAGGTAGATCTTTACGAAAGTAGATTGCCCGATGGCGGGGTAGCTGGTGGGTTTGTTTGAAACACCAACCTTCTAGTTAGCAGTCAAATGCCTTAGGCACTGTGCCACCAGAGCTCCTTATAACCACCCTGTAATGAAACATAAATTCTAGCTGAGCCACTTTGAACAAGTTACCTACCCCTTTCAGTGCTCAGGTTGCTTTTGTGTTTTGGTTTTGAGTTTTATAAGATTAAAATTAGAAGCTTATTCTAGATACCCTTCATTAAATGTTTATCCAGTACTTGCTATGCATCAGGCATTATCCTAGGCCACAGATGTTTTCTTTAGATTCCTTCTGGTTTAAGAGTCCGTGAACTATTCTTAAACACAAATATTTTAAAAATTAAATAAACACTATGATTTTATGGGCAAGATAAATAGCTTTAAAACATAAAGGAAAGCCAAATAAGACAACTTACTTTAAATTCCCATTTATTCTGGTGGCATTTTAAGGCTTTTCTTTCCAATTAGTAAAGTTATCAAGTGAGTATGTATGTGAAGAAAATGAGAAATAGAAATAGATACAGAGAAAAATTAAGTTTATGAAGTTTAGAAAACAAATAGCAGTATTTAGAATTGTGATGTTTCCTTTTTTTAAAAAAGACAAAAAAATATGAAAATCGCAACTTTTTAACTGATAATATTAAAAATTATACTAATGACACCCTGTATTTAGTCAACAGAAGCAGCAACTTATGCTTTATCCACACCACAAGGGTATAAAGTCGGTACTAAGTATTGTCATCTCTGTTTTACCCAGAAGGGAAATGAGGGAGGAAGAAATATATAACCTGCTCAATATTACACAGAATGCCAGTGAAGAAGGGAATTTAAATTCAGAACTCTTAATATCCAGCACAGGTTTTGAATAACTTTATAGTCCTTCTTTTCAAATGACAAAATGCAGGGACAAGAAGCAGATGGAGAAAATCTTTCTTAGGATTTCATGGTACAGTTTCTTTAAAGAAAAAAAAATCAATACAAGTTGATATATTTAATTCCCAAGCAAATTGTGAATTATTTACTAATATATTTGTTTTTATGAAAAATATAAAAGGCCAGTCCATTCTCCACTCCTAACCCCTAAACCCAACCACAGGGAAACAGACTTTATTTCTTTATGGTTGCTAAGATTTTTCCAATGTAAGCATACATTAAATATATGGACCACTGTGTAAATATGCTGTTGATTATTATTACGCAAGAACTCATGAAAACAAAATGAAAAAGCACGAAATGAAAAATTAAATAAAGTTCTAATATTTTCTTTCCACACACCTATGCTTTATAGTCTTATATCTCTATATACGCTGGAATTTTGTATTCCTGTTTGGAGACCCTAATTTAGGGCCAGGCACTAACCTACCAAGACTAATCTGGATAGAAGGAAGGGGTAAGGCTCATGCCCTTAGATGAAAGCGTAGAACAGAAGGAATTTCGTAAAGACAACTCCTTGAAAGTCTTTACTGCTACTGAAAAACTGGTGGATCCACAGAGACTTTAAATTGGGAGAATGACACACTTCTGAAAAAACTAAAACACCCAAAACCAACCCCTTTGCTGTTGAATCCATTCTGACTTTGACTGCCACATCTTTCTCTCACAGAATAGCTGGTATGTTCAAACTACCGACCTTTTGGTTAACAGTGAAATGCTTAATCATTGTGCCACCAGGACTCTTTTTTTCGTTAAACACATGCTAAATATTGGTGATGTGTTAGATAGGTCTCATGTTTCAATATAAGCCATTGTTCAATAAAACTTTTGCAGGATATTTACTGAGTGGCTTCTCTGTGCTAGGCTTTATGCCTTCTAGATGCTGGGAAAGGAAAAGTGCCTGCTCCTAGAGGCAGCAATGGAATAAAATTTTAATCTCCTCTATGATAGATGAGGGAGCTCTGGTAGCATAGTGGCTAAGACACTTGCCTGCTAACCAGACGGCTGGCGGTTTAAACCCACCAGCCATTCCTCGGAAGGAAGGTTGGGCAATCCTACTTTCATAGTGATACTGCCTCGGAAACCCAAGGAGGGGTCGCTATGTGTCGGGTTTGACTCCACGGCACATAACAACAACAACAACAACATGATAGATGAAGAGCTCTGGTGGAGCAGTGCATAAGACATTTGGCTGCTAACCAGAAGGTTGGTGATTCAAACCCACCAGCTCCGCGGGAGCAAGATTAGGCAATCTACTTCTGTAAAGATTTATAGCCATGGAAACCCAGTGAGGGTTCCTGTGAGTCAACTTGATGGCAGTGGGTTTGATGTGGCTTGGTTTAAGAAGACTAAGAACTAATAAAATGTAGTGCCTAAGGCACTTGAGTGGGAGCTCTGGTAGCATAGTGGATAAGACACTTGACTGCTAACCAGAGGGCTGGCGGTTCAAACCCACCAGCCACTCCTCGGAAGGAAGGTTGGGCAATCCTACTTCTGTAGTGATACTGCCTCGGAAACCCAAGGAGGGGTCGCTATGAGTCAGGTTTGACTCGATGGCACATAACAACAACAACAACAACAAAAGGCACTTGAGTGCTAACCAGAAGGCTGGTGGTTCAAACCCATCAGCCACTCCTCAGAAGGAAGGTTGGGCAATGTACTTCAGTGGTGATACTGCCTTGGAAACCAAGGAGGGGTCGCTGTGAGTTGGATCTGATTCAATGGCAGTGAGTTTGGTTTGGTTTGGTTTAAGTACTTTTTTAGATATTTTGTTCTCATTTAAGAATAAAGATCAAGAAATTTTAAATACCAGCAATATTCAAAAATATAAAATATGATCAGGACAAATCAAACCTTCAGTTGAGTGCACTGAAATTTATAACGTGGGGTTATGAAAATAAATAACAACTGCTTGTTACCTGTGTAAAATGCCATTAGAAAGGTTGCGCCTTTTTCCTTTCTCCTTTTCACAACTGATTTTCAGTCACAGGTTAAGCTCACATGGCTAGCATATTCTTCCTCCTTTTCAAGGCCTTGATTATCCATTTTATTAATTTTATGAGGAGCCTTTGTTGTAAGTCACATAAAATAATTTTGGAAAAGTATGTAAACTTAAATATGTCTGTGTATATTGTTTTAAGGGAGCTCTAGTGCCATAGTGCCTAAGGCATTTGACTGCTAACCAAAAGGCTGGCAGTTCAAACCCACCAGCCACTTCTCAGAAGGAAGGTTGGGGAATCTACTTGCATAGAGATACCACCTCAAAAATCCAAGGAGGGGTCACTATGAGTCAAGTCGACTCAATAGCAGTGAGTTTGTTTTTTTTAGTATATTGTTTTAAATAGACACACACATGCAAGTATGTATAGTGTTTAAATATACATCTATAAATAATATTTTATTTTATTATTTCTACATTATTTCTGTATACAATCGTAACTCAGATTCTGATTTCGCCACTTCTTAACTGTGTGTCCTTGGAAAAAT